TATATATATATATATATATATATATATATATATACGTATAATTTCCGCACAACACCTTGCGAACGGCTCTCATGACCAAATATATATATTCATTTAGTTAAAAAATTAAACCTGACAGAAGCGAGCACGCGTAATTGGTAGTAAAAAGAAAATATTGAGTTTTAAATTTTAATTTGACATCTTTCTTGTTACTGCACCTTTGTGCAGTGCACACTTGCACACTTGCTTGCGACGGCCCTGAGCGCGCGCGATGTAAAGAGTGGAAAGCAGTCGTGGAAAGAGATAGCTTCAGGCGGAGAACGTTTACCGGCGGAATCTTGGTGGGAAAACAGTCACGTGATCAGTTAGAAGGCTCTGTTGTAGATCATCCTCAGCATACTACATAATAATACAATATGATTAATTGAATAGGAGAAACGTGAAACATGTACAATAAATAGATGAAAATATTAAAAATAATAAATAAATACGCACTGAAATTCAACATGTCAGCACAGAACCGTCGAAAATAAATTGGCAAGCACAAGAAGTCAATATAATAGTCGACAATAAACAACACATGATGTTTATGTATTGAAGTCTGCAATAAAATAATAATCTGGTGGTCAATGTAATAAGATCGTCAGAAAGAATAAAAGTCAAATTTTAAGTAGACTTACTTTTAACGGCAACATTAAAAACCGTTCTAAATTGTCACTGAGCTCGCCAAAACAAACAACGAACGGAACAATGCATGACCGTTTCACAATGAAAATAATACGCGTATGAGAAAATACTGAGAGTACTGTTCGAGAGATGATGAGAGGGGGAAGAAAGCGCCAAACAACACGTGATAATAATCACATGACTGTTCTAAAATTTCTTGAGTAACGGTGAATAAATTGAATCAAGAAAGTCAGTATCTTTCATTAAATTTTCAAGTACGGTTTTTAATGTTGCCGTTAAAAGTAAGTCTACTTAAAATTTGACTTTTATTTTTTCTGACGATCTTATTACATTGACCACCAGATTATTATTTTATTGCAGACCTCGATACATAAACATCATGTGTTGTTTATTGTTGACTATTATATTGACTTCTTGTGCTTGCTAATTTATTTTCGACGGTTCTGTGCTGACATGTTGAATTTCAGTGCGTATTTATTTATTATTTTTAATATTTTCATCTATTTATTGTACATGTTTCACGTTTCTCCTATTCAATTAATCATATTGTATTATTATGTAGTATGCTGAGGATGATCTACAATTAAAGATCGAAACGTCCAAAATACATTTCATGAAGTTTTTTACGTGTTGTGCGTGTACTTGGCGCACTTTTTTACTTTTTTTTAAAAGGTAAGTTTTTTTCGGATATCACTCCTTTTTTTGTAGCATATCTTTCACGTATATATTAAAAAAATAAACTTTACTTTTTTTCTATTATGTCTTAGTTTATAGAAGATAAACATTAAAAATTAAACTCAATATTTTTTTTTATTTTTGCGCCGTCGTTTTCACATTCTCTTTCGCAATCTTTTATTCTCTCTTTTACTCTTTTATATCACAATATGTTTTTCTCTCATTCTTACTTTTTTCCTTTTATATACTCTTACTCTTTTTCTTTCACTCTCTCTCTCTCTTGCACTCTTTCTCACTCTCTCTTACTCTCTCTCGCACTCTATAACACTCTCTCACACTCTTTCACTCTTCCTCATTTTCCCTCCCACTCTCTCTCTCTTTCTTGCACTCTCTCTCACTATCTCTCGCACTCTTTCTCACTCTTTCTCACTCTCTCTCGCGCTCTCTTTCACTTTATTTCATCTCTCTCGCACTTTTTCTCACTTTCTCTCAGTCTCTTTCATTCTCTCTCACACTCTTTCTCACTCTCTCTTTCACTCTCTCTCACTCTCTCTTCCACTCGCTCACTCTTTTTCACTGTCTCTCACATTCTCTCTCACTCTCGCACTCTCTCTCATTCTCTCATTCTCTCAATCATTGATTTAATCTTTACTAATAATGATAGTTTAGAAGTACAGGTAGTTTCCGAACCTAAAATTACGGATCACGCATGGCTTCAAGTTAAACTTGGTGCTAATAGAAGTAAAAATAACTATAAAGAATTTAACGCTAGAAGCTTTAAGAAATTTGATGTAAGTAAATTTACCAGGTTAGTGGCAAATAAATTGCACAACAAACAAGATATGGATGTCAGTATGAGAGCGACAAAGCTAGTTGACAGCATAGTAGAAGCGTTAGATGTAGTAGCGCCGATAAGAAAATTTAGAATTCCGAAAGTGTGGAAAGGGAAAAAATGGTTCTCAGATGAAATAAGAGAAGCAGCTGATAGAAGGGATAAAGCATACAAAAAAGCGATTTATGAAAATAGTGAGCAAAATTGGTTGCAGTTTAAAACTGAAAGGAATACAGTTGTAAAATTAATTAGAGATATAAAA